CCTAAATAATTTTTTAGAATTTGTTATGACGTTTCCTGAATTATATGAAATGAATATTACGGATCAGTTACTTTTATAAAAACAAAATATTATTTTCCCTTACGATTTGAGAAAAATCATTAAACATTGAATTCACACTGAAGTAGAAGTGGGTTAATAAAATACTTAGGACCACAAAGTTAGCATAAATTAAAGACTTGATTTCAATTTTAATTTTAATAGAATGCATTGTTTAAAATATCATATGATTTAAAAATCCTTGATTAATTTTTTTGTCCATTCATTTTACTGTATCTACATCAAGCAATAAATCAATTTAAAGATAAATTAAACCTGTTACATCCTTCCTCTGTACAACATCAAACTGCCAAATTTAAAATTAATTAAATGCTTACCAATATCCGTACATATAAAGATGTATCTCATAAAGGTTACTTTTATTGAAAAATGATGCCTGTCAACGAGGAACTTTCCAGTGTCCATTTTTCAACTTGCGGTTAGAGCAAATGATATGCTGCAAGATAAAGATTACAAATATCCTTTTTATCAGGGATAATCATTAATTTGCATATGAGAATGCAACCATTATTGTTTTTCAACTTGTACTACTTTCATTCAATTGTGTTAAAATTTCTTCAACCATCAAGTTAAATTGAATTTCTTGTGGCAAAAGAGGAGTTTAGACACACAATTGTACACAAAATACATATCTACATATGTTGTTGAATGTGTTTCGGCGTACTTGTGTACAAAACCATGTTGATTTATGCATAATATGCAATTATCCTTACCACGTTCATTAATCATTTTGAGTTGAGACACTCTAATACAGACATGTAATTTTCTTACAAACCCCTAGCAGCCTTTCTTATGCTTAAATATCATATAAATTTTCATCAATTGAATTGCAGGACTCCTCTCCCTGCTTATTCCATTCTACCACTACTTAAGGATATGTAAATTGCTTTTTATACAAATTTTTGGGGAATTTTTCTTCAGAAGGCAAATAGAATACTTAAGTTTTTGAAAATTACATATCAACTTCTCAATACATTTCTTTTTCTGTTTGCAGCTCCTTTTTAAGGATCTACTTCGAACTGTAATCTTTAGAATTCTTTTGTATTCATGGCTGGTAACAATTTCACTGAGCATACATAAATAATGAAATGTGTTCTCTCTTTGTCTTCCTCTTTGTGATGTTAGTTTTCGGTATT